CCTTCCGCATGATGTATTCTGCATATAAGTTAAATAAGCTGGGGGAGAATATACAGCCTTGCCGTACTCCTTTCCCAATTTTGAACCAATCCGTTGTTCCATATCCAGTTCTAACTGTTGCTTCCTGTCCCACATATAGGTTTCTCAGGAGATGGATAAGGTGGTCAGGCACGCCCATTTCTTTTAGGACTTGCCATAGTTTGCTGTGGTCCACACAGTCAAAGGCTTTTGCATAGTCAATGAAGCAGAAGTAGATATTTTTCTGGAACTCTCTGGCTTTCTCCATAATCCAGTGCATGTTAGCAATTTGGTCTCTAGTTTCTCTGCCCCTTCGAAATCCAGCTTGTACTTCTGGGAGCTTTTGGTCCACATACTGCTGAAGCCTGCCTTGGAGGATTTTGAGCATAACCTTGCTAGCGTGTGAAATGAGTGCAATTGTACGGTAGTTGGAGCATTCTTTGGCACTGCCTTTCTTTGGGATTGGGATGTAGACTGATGTTTTCCAGTCCTCTGGCCACTGTTGAGTTTTCCAACTCAACAGTGGTGGCTTACAATAATTAAAATTCAATTAAAATACAATAAAAGATAAAATGATAAATACAATAAAAGATAAAATGATTAAAATACAATTAAAATTGCCATCAGGACCCACAGTTGATGTTATTTCAATTAAAAGCCTTCTGGAACAGGAAGGTTTTGACCTGGTGCCGAAATGTCATCAACGTCAGTGCCAGACGAGTTTCAGTCGGGAGGGCATTCCATAGTCTGTGGGCAGCTGCCGAAAAGGCCCTTTGTCTACAAGCCATCCCTCTTACCTTCTTGAGGGACAGCTCTTTCAAAAGGGCCCCCTGGCTAGATCTTAACTGCTGGATAGGCTCATATGGAAGGAGGCGGTCTTTCAGGTATCCATGGCCCAAGCCGTTTAGGGCTTTATATGTCAGTATAAACATATTGACATATAAATTTTATATCTGTAACATGGAAAACATAATTTTGTTTCAGTTGTATGTTCTGAATGCTACTCTTGGCACAACTATCTTGTATAATTTTAGAAGATAAACATGGTCAGATCTGATGGATGAGAGATCTCCAGATATTTTCAAAGAGGGCTAGAAAAGAATTTGTTCTGAAATATTGAAAATTGCTTTTTAGTTCCAAGTCTGAGAGCAGATGTTCCAGTCTGGGAGCAGCATCAGGAAGGCTCTCTCCTGTGTCCCCATCAGACGTACGTGTGAGGGTGTCAGGACAGAGAGAAAGGCCTCTCCTAATTATCTTAATACCCGGGCCAGCTCATAATGGGAGATATGGTCTTTAAGATAGTTTGGACCCAGGTCATTTAGGGCTTTATAGGTTAAAACCAGCACTTTGAATTATAATTTTAATAACTCCATGCTGCCCATGCCAGCTTTCGTTCACTACCCTGTTGCTGATAAAGACAAAGCAAGATTACCATTGTGTTACAACCTCCTAACATGTCAGGAGGGATCAGTTTAACACCAGAATATAGGACAACTGAAGTTGAGTGCACGGAGGATATCTAACCAATAAAAACACATCTTGTAACAAGCAAGGAAACCATCCAGTAATTAATTGTATGAAATGGGAGAAAATAATGAAAGTAATATTCCATTGTCATTATGAACTACTCTTACAGTTTTACTTCACCTAAAGCAATAATAATTGTGTGCTGTGAAGTAAATTCCAACTTATTGTGACCCTTTCCAGGGTTTTCTAGGTAGGGAGTATTCAGTAGTGGTTCACTATTCCATTCTTCTGGCGGTGCCCTGTGTCTGAACAGATCACTCAAGGCTCCAAGAACTCCCAGTCTCTGGCTCTGCAGCCATATGCCCAAATCACTGAGCTATCTAGCCAGCAATTAGGATTGTCAATTTCATCTTTGAAAATCTACTTGGCTGTAGTACTCCCACGTCAATCTGAAAACCATCTATCATCAAAGTTATTTGGAAACCCAGCACAAAAGAAATTCTTGAAATGTTTGAAAAATACTTATGCTGATGTGAAGCCCCCTTAGTATCTTGGTCTTTGTCTTTGGTGGTGACACAGTTAATGAGGAATCCTTTTGAATCTATGACAAGAACATATCTAAAGTTGGTGACTTTAAAACAGTTATCCTAATTACTATTACATCTGCAAAAAGGCCTAGTGAAATTTGTGCATTGAGATGTGACTCAATATATTCAATTTAAGAAAGATAAAGTGACTTTATACACTGGCATATGTTTCCTTCTTAAGGTATTGTAACCACTTTATATATCTCAAGCATTAATTATACTAGCTTTTTACACATCAACTCATAATGACTTAGAAAAAAATACTGCATACCTAAGATGTAGAAGCTTTTTATTTATCAAGAAGAAAAAAGTTTAGAAAAACGTATAGACTTTTTGTATATTATCAAAGATCTGAAAAAGGTTATTCAGTATCTTCACAGCACTTCTCTAAATGGGTAATTAATACAATAAGACTGGCTTATGATATTGCAAAAGTAAACATATCTGATATCAAAGGTCATTCAATGAAATCAGTGGCTCCCTCAATTTTTATGAGAGAGGTTGATATATAGAACCTTTGCAGAACAGCAACATGGTCTCAATCTCTGACCTTTAAAAAGCATTATAGACTTGATTTATGGGGTTAGAGAGATGCTTCTTTGGCAGAGCAGTTCTGATTTTGATTTTCCATTTGAATTCCTACAATAATTAGGGATTTTGGATTTGAATTAATTATATGAATTAAGTAATTGCCTGCAATTTAAGATTTGCTTAATATTCTGGATTATTTCTCATTTGCATCTTTTCATAATTGTAAGAATTCTGAAGGCTCGTACATGATTTAATCATTTGCACTGACAGCTTTTTCTCATAGCTGTAAAAATATTTCCAATACTTTTTGAGTTATTAATTTTTGGATTTTTGTTTATTAAAGCAATGTAGATTTTAAAGGCTTGTAAAATTAAGCAAATTTATGTTGCCTGGAATCTCTGTTTGGAAAAAGTAGAATGAATACAATCTGAATGTTTGAAGAAGAACTTAATTTCACCATGAATGAAACAATGATTTATTCTCATCCCCTGAAGAGAGATTACATGTTTAACATGTCTATACATGGATACCTTGAAAAGGTTATCAGGTTTTACAGTGAAATTAATCCTTTCGGCAATAAATATCACCTGTGATGGACCACCACAGACCTCAGACCCTTGGTTTGCTTGAGTCCATTGTTTAAGTGTTATACATGTGACCTTGACACAATTCCTCATAAGCTTTTATAAAAGTTGGAGCAAGGGTTGCTATGGAAGAGAAGACATATTGACAGCTTTTCTTTCAAGAGCACAAGTTATCAGAATATGTCTAATATTTATTAATTGTACTGTTGTGCTCTTGAGATGATTAAATGAAGATTTGGTGATTTCCCAAGCTAGCCGTGCGTCCTATCCAACATTGTCCAGGAAGGCCCTCAGCCCACCATAGAAACATTAGAGACCTGCAGGTGGCAGGTAGGGTGGGAAGGAGCAAGAAACTTTAATTTCATAAACATCCTTTAAGAGATATGCATTCTTGTCTGCAATAAGTTGAATAGTGCCTCCCTGAAAAATAGACTATCTGGCAACAGTGTGTATTTTACCAGGACTGAACTTTCATTTATTGGCTCTGCGTTACTGATCCCATATACTGATTTGGATACCAAATTACTACAGCTCAGTTGGGGAGATAACACTAAAGTTGCCATCCACCCATGTTACTCATTGTTTAAGCACAGGAGGCAAGCTTTGCTTTTGAAATTTACCCATCCAGAAAGCTGGGTTGGGAAGCAAGGAAGGCTTGAAAGAGGAGCTTCTAAAAGCATCATGTGGCCACTGAGGAACCTTAATGGGCCAAAACCAAGAGATTCCCCTTCCAACCTTAAATATATGTATGAGCTTCCTGTGGATAGGAGAAGTTTAATGCTCAGTCTTCATATTACTATTGGAGTTATTATATATTACAGCATTTCTTAACCTTGTCATTGCCACATCTTTAGAACTGCAGTTCCTTTCAACTTCTACCATCATATCTAGTGGTCAGGAATAATGGGAGTAGTAGTAGTTGAAAACATCTGGAGAGTACTTTAAAATTAATCCATACCTTATATTAGTTGGAGAAGGCTGATAGATAATTGCTAGTTCTGGAGTGAAAGAAATTCGGTTTTCATATTTTCTACTTACATTTCCTTGTTGTAGTTAGAAAAAATATTTTTTCTTACAAAATTCAGTAACATTTTTTGTAAGTTATACTGACAGAATTGTGGAATGATGTGTTAGTAGTGTTTTGAATTATGGAGCGGAGGACTTTTGCAGTTTTGTAGAACAATGTGTTAATTGATACTACAGATCAGTGGAAAACTCAGAGCTACTGTCTACATTTTTGGCATGCAAGGTGAGCGCAGTCATGAGTATGGTCAGAGCATTTGGTGAAATCATGTTTTCTTTAAGCGTACTTGCTCCAGTGAATTTTCTCCAGGCCATCGCCAGGTATCTACATATGATTTAGTCATGAATAACTCAAGCTCAGCAAGTTTCAAATGTGGGTTAGAAGTGCTCTTGGCAGTAGTTAAGTGGAATGGAAAGTTGTGCTGCATAGCCCTGCAGCCACTCAGTATTCTGACCCACAGATATAACACCTGTGTTAAGAAACGCTACAGAGATGTATCAATATATATATAAGATAATAAACACCTGTAGTTGAAAAAATTGTAAAAGAGCCCTTGAATGTAGTGAGTAAAGTTGTAGCACAGAATTTTACACATGGCAAGTTTGCAGATGGAGGAGGAGTGTAGCACAAAAACATGTTGCAAGAGTTGGTGCGTTTGTGCATATCTTTATCAGGTATTTGGCAAGAGATACAAGCATAGATACAGTGTGATGTGTATCATTCTCATATAAACAAAGACACAATTGACAACAAGTTTATATTTTAATGTTTGTAACATTTTTCCTTAAGGATCAAAGTAATGAGGAGAAGCACGCTGATGGACTTATAGTAAGTTTAAATCTAATCCTTTAAATCCTTCCATTTCTGCAGAACATTAGAGCTACAATCATGTGAACGCAGGGACTTGAACTTCCGCTTACTTTTTATATTCCTTTCTTCCTTAGTCATGCCTTCTTCTGTCTCTTTCAGTATGTTACTTTTGTCAAGCTTCTAAAATCGAGTGTACCACCGTGATTAAAAATACTGAATACCAGCTTTTTCTCTTGTGTTAAAATATTAGTAAAGCAAAATTAAAGCCATCAGTTTGATTGAAAAGAATTGGATAATGTCTTGGTCACTGGATTAAACTTGGGAGTACTTACTTATAAGGCACTTGCTATGAGAATAACCTATTTCTTTAAAACTATGCTTTTGAATTACTGGGGATGGAGACTTTTGTTGCTTTGTTGTGTGTACTTGGTGTCTTTCATTTCTATCTTTTCCTTTGAATGCATTTTCCTGTCAACAGTTTCTTCTGAGCATATGTAATCTGGTAGAAGCCCACATTCGCTTTACATCCTTCTGCTTTTGTAGAAAAAATTGAATGTTAGTGCTGTTTTTCCCTGTGTAAAGTTTAAAAATAAGATGTGAGTATATAGTGTTTAATCCATGGGTATGATTCTGAATACTGTAGTATTTAAGCCTCTTCGTACTCTGGGAGCAATACAGATAGACAGCTGGCCAAAGAACAGTACTTGCTGTGGTACAGTGAATTGCTGCCGGAATTCCCCGTAATAAACATAGTATAGCAAAGGATGTTTTGGCCCCTAATAAAACTGACATTTTCGGATTCTAGTATAAATAATATTTATTTCCCCGAGAACTGCCAATACAATTCAAGATGTGCTGTGTGATGGGAATTGCAAACTAATAACACCAGGTAGGCATCCTAAAATATGATACTAAATTGAGTCACAGAAATTACCTTCTGTGTTTTCTGTTGTTTAGTTCATGTCTTTTGTAGATCATCAGGAGTGTTAATGTCTTTCTCAGCATACTGTATGTAGTTGTTAGGTGAGAGCTTTAAAAATGGGAGGCAGCATAACATGCTCTTTGCAACTCATTACTACTGTTGCTCAAATAACTGTTCTTAGCAATAGTACGTCATAATCAGATTTTTTTATTCAAAACATGCTAGAGCTTGTCTCTGACAGCTGAGGCTACCTGTTGTTATAACATGCATACATGCAAGTTGAAGCTATTTTACGCTATTCAGTTGTGAACATTAGATGTAAGAGGGCAATCAGTTACGTTCTTCTAGCAAAAGAAACAGTTCTTGTGTACTGCTTTTAAACATGTAGACAGGGAAAATCAAGACAGTGGCTAGATTCAGACACAGACACAGGCCCTGGTCAAATGAAGGAAATGTTCTCTAGTTATCCCCCAGTTAGATAATTTTCCCCCCGAGTCACCACGACACACAATCAAGAATGAAACATTTTCCTGGCCAGCAATATAACTGCAGATTATTTTCCACTCCCTGAGTGTAGCCATCCTTCAGTCTTGAGGGACTATGGTAACATGGTCGGAATAGAGGTCTTGGAACAGTGTCTACTGTGGCTGAGAAGGCCAATTGGAGAGTGACAATGCCTTCCATACTGAAGACAAATACAATCTGTCCCTTGTCCAGCTCCCTGATTTGGCTGGTTTCGGGACTGCCTCTTTGCCTCAGTCTGCTGAACAACTGTCTCTTCAAATTGGGAGAGGGCATGATGCCTCCAGGCTGAATGCTCAGATGTCAAAGTTTCTCATCTGTTGAGCTCAATTCCTAAGGCCTTCAGATCTCGCTTGCAGATATCACTGTATCGCAGCTGTGGTCTCCCTCTGGGGCACTTTCCCTGCACTAATTCTCCATGCAGGAAATGCTTTGCGCAAGACGATGTTTTCGCTAAACAACGATTTCAATGGAACGGATTAACATAGTCTTGCGGGGCCCCACTGTATATCCATGTACCATGGTGTAGCCAGCCATAATGATTCAAATACTGTAGGAGAAAATAAATAGTCACCACTTAAATGTCTTGGGATGTTAGTTCCACTGTATATACACATGACCAAGAATCAGTACAACAGAGGTATGGAAAGTATTGGAAGAACTAGCGAACATTTCCCTTGTGTGACCAGGGTCACAGTCAATGATGCAAGTAGAAGTAAACCATGCCTTCCCTGAATGAAAGGGTCTGTTTCTGGTTTCAGCTCACTATTGTGTCTAAAAGTGGTAAACCATAGCTTGTGCATGGAGGTCATTCCTGTGGCTACTTGCACATACTGACAAAATGTGGTTTCCTGCTATAATTGAGTGATGCCTTTGCTACGTTGTACCAGGAATGTCAGAGGACATTGCTATTGTACCTGTTTGGGGAGAGGGTGATGCAGCAAAGACTTGCTGAAATGATTCTATAGGAAAGCCTTTTGAATTTACTAGTATTTCATCCAGTATTTTGCTTTTTTCCATATGTCTGATGAACTGGGCTTGTTCACAAAAGCTCACATTAAAATATAATTGTCTTTAAGGTGCTGCATGTTTTGTCTTTTGTGTTGTTTGTATTTTGCTTGATATGCTTGCATGACTAACTATGGCTACCTCTTCTAAAACTAAAACCTTTTGAATAAAGGCTTCATTTTTTCAGTTCATTAGGTTTACAGTATTATAGTGCCAAGTATCATGCCTTTGATAATCCTGTATAGTATTTTGGGATTTAACTGTCCTGAACTGAGTGTGAAAGCAAACTGGTAATCAGTGATGCTGGTGGAGCTTCGGTGTATTCTAGTCCAAACAGGTGGCTCTCATCAGAATTATTAATGGCACATTTTAGGCCATCTTGAGTTTTCCAGATTGCTTTCGGGTGCTGAGGCATTTAAAATATGTTGCAGTAATCCAAAGGTCATGAGCCTTAATTACTGAAGCCAGTAGGTTTATGAATAAAGTTGTCAAAATGCTCTTGGTGAAATATGTCATTTAGGCAATGAAGAACTGGTACAGGTCCTGCAGTATTCCCAAGTGCTAACCTATTGTTGCAGAGTGTAATCCCTTCTAAGGCAAGTTGAATCCAGAGTGATTAGAACCCTCAAGTGATAACACTTCCATTTTTTCTGCATTAGGTTTCAAATTAATGTGTTCAATTTAGGGTTCATCAAGAGTACTTCCTGATAAATCTGAATGGTGTTTCCAAAACAAATATAATAAATAATATATGTATGTTTGTATTAGTTAAAATTATTTCATGAGCAATATCACTGTCACTAATTCTTGCACTGAATTTCCCTGTAATCCTCACTGTCTACAGTTCCACTGCTAACCGTATGCATTGTATATATACCTGAAATACTGGATATACTTCATGCAGTGGACTGTAGCTCACAAAAACCTTGTACAATTTAAAATGAGTTGATCTTCAAGGTGGCACAGGACTAGTTTTTTTTTTTTGATGGAACCTTTTTGTAGTTCATTATTCAGACTTTCTAAAAAGTAGTGTTATTTTTCTTCAAAACCTAGTTCCTGCTAGTTTTCTCAATCAGATACATGATTCCTTGGCTCTACAGCATCTAACTGGTCTTCCTTTCCTTAAATCTGTTATACAGGCTCTGGGGTACACACATCTAAGCAATATATGTAAAGTACGTGAGATAAGCAAAGTTTGAGTGAAAGAAAATTTGATGTCATTTTAGACATCTGAAGTGTTTGGATTTAAATGATTTTTTGTTGAATTCTCACCAGCTTTTTTTGTCAAACTCAGAAATGTTGGCTGAAATCCAGGTGTTTAATTACACCTGTGGAAGGCAAACAGCGTAACATTCGTTCACTTCTGGCTGGCAATAAGTTGCTACTGTGAGTCTTAGCGGCACACATTTCAGAATCCCGGCAGGGACTCATTAATTGCCAGGCAGATGTGACTAAATATACAGTAAATTGTTTGCCTTCCTCATGCATAATTAAGCAATAGGATTTCAGCCTTTGAGTATGTTTGAGGAAAGGAAGTTTGACACTTACAGCATGATGTATTTGGAACAAGGGTTTAGGAAGTGTGAGGGACAAATTATCTCTTTATATCTCCCAGCTCATTATTCCCTAGTTCTGTTACTCCTCAGGCATAGAGTTCACAATACTTTATGAGGTATGATAAATTAGAGTCAGGAAACATAATTTTTACCACTACAGACAATGACCCTGAAGCCTGAGAATATTACTGAGTAGCAGTAACTTTCCAGATAAAGTTCTTTGTAATTGCATGTAGTGCCTTGGCACACACATTCTGTCAGCTGGCATTATTTTGTGTATTGCATATCGTAAAATGCTTACTTCTTAACTTCACTTTATTATGTTCATGAACAATTCTCTGGCTTTTAATAATAAAGATGAAATAGCGAAAATACAAAATAGGTCTTGTGACTATATTGGAGGCAATATGTACAAAATTACCTTTTTTGATATAAGATTTTATTGACACTTTCTAAGAAACAATGAAATAGTTCAGATTTGATTCAGATGTTATTCCCTTGTAAGAGAAGCAAAACAATGTATACACAGCAACTATTATCACTGAAAGTAATGGCACATGATCAGTGTGGTATTGTGCACATTATAAGGAAGTTGTCTGGATTCATTATGTTATCTAGATTAGAGTTTGATCATATTGAGTTTCTCCTCCACAGGAAGGTAGTCTGTAGCCATCATTCTTCCTTTATTTGTAAATGAAGAGACACCAAACTGTCTTACATTTATTTTCTGCAAGATGCATTTCCATCACCTTATGTCATGCTTTCAACTATTTAATTTGTTCTCTCAGTAGTTATTTTAAAATATATTTGGAAAAACAAGTAGCATTCTTGCCAAAGTTTGCTGCAGAGAAGAACTTTCATTCTTGGACATGATTCCTTTCCATTCATATCTTCAACTTACTTTTATTTCTGCCATTGCTGTTTTGCTGTTGTGGAACCTCATGCTCAATTTTGCCTGTCTCTGTCTAATCTTCTGTTTTTGTAGGCTCATCCTCTTTCTGCTATACAGAGTTATGCCAAATAGCTGGATTTAAACACCTCAGAATGAACTGGGTTCACTTTGCTAGTTGGTTTACATTGTGTCTGTTCGTCCTGCACTTAATCTTGATTTACTTTTTTCACTCTGGGTTCTGTTTATAATAACAGTATATTTAATACAATGTTTCTGAAATCAGTAAAGTATTTTAGTGGTCTTGAGCCTGGAATCTGCCTATACTGTAAAAAATTACGCTCACAACCTTTTACGTAAATAAAAGAGACAGGGTTATTCCTATAAGAGTAAAACCAACAATTCACTGCATACCATTGCATGTAACATATGTAACACAGATGCATTTCCATGTTTATATACATGCCTAATTTCTCACAGTTTATATCATTTTGAAGACATAGTCAGTTATACTAGATCTGGTGCATATGATAGAGGAACACATTCCTATCTTTTGTCTCTCCTATGTACAGTATAGGAAATCAGAAGTTTATCAATGTTTACAGTTATTGAAATTACTACATATTTCTCTCTTCACTTTAATGAAGGATGATGTCCTATTTTAATTTCCTGTCTTCATTAGACGATGCTTCTGTACCTGGAATTTGACAAGTGTAGTAGCTTGTAAAATTTTAAGCCATCTAGTCTAAAAAAGATTCTGTTGCTTGACACATTTCTTTAGTAAAGGATATTGGAAGAAAAGAAAAGAGTTGTACATAGAATAAAGAAATGTAAAAGATTGAACAATTTCTTTGTTCACCCAACTTGCAAAGCATCTGATGAAGAAGCTGAAATTACTGTGTCATAGTATAGTCACAGTTGCTTTTAATCAAGATTCTTGATTAAATATTGTGGAATATTGTTGAATGGTATTTCAGGGATAGGTAGTTTTTTTTTCTTCAAAAGAAGAATAAAATACAGCCCCCTGATCTTTTGTGCCTCCTGGGAGAAACCCAGCCTGTGTAGCCTTGGGCAAGCTGCACAACTCCGGAGTGCCCCCAGAAAGAGAAAACAGTGAACTACCACTTCTGATTTCTGTGGACTCACACATATGTTGTGCTTGCACAGCATGTTCTGGAACCTTCTGGAATATTTCACATCATTGAGTTTTGACAGAATCCCCATCCCTGTGTTGGATTTTCTTTCTGGTCTCCCTCCAATTTTTCCAGTTCATTTTCATTCACCATCCAGGCAACACATGTTCAGGACCTCCCAACACTTCACTTACCTTGACTATTCGTTCCTCTTTTTTGTCTCCTGTCGACTGTTTGACTTTTTTCATAGTTACTTCCTTTGAAAAAAAAGAGAGAAGCTAACTATTTTGTCATTGTTCATCATTCCTCATAAGATCTCATGCCTTTACTGACTCATGACACCCACACCCTTCTTTTAAAAGTTTATAGAATGTGGGTCTAAGATTCTGTTAACAGATGGGCATTCTAAGTGCCTCCTGTGCCTAGGAGAGACACACAGTATCAAGGCATGCAAGCACTGTCACTTTCAGTCAGCAGGGCCAGAAGAATAATGAGAGCTGGTTGCAGGGTGTTCTGTGGGAGAGGGCAGTCTTCTCTTCACAGACACTATCAAAACAGCAGCCACTGTAATCTGTGGCAGTTTCTAAATGTGTTCCCCAATTCTACAGAAGAGGGCCACCACTTTGATCCTAAAGAAATATACAGCCCTCAAACTGATTACCACCCTGGTTTTGCCTGTCTCAAACCAACTACTTTGGTGCTGAGTCACCCACTGATCTCCATACTGTCAGATGGTTGCAAAAGGTCCACAGAGAACTCAGTGAAGAAGCTGAAGAAAAAGAAGGAAAGAAAAATGGGTATAATCACCAGCAGCACTGTGTTCCTTTCATCCAGGTGCAGAAATGCAATCCCCACCATTAAAGCCTCATACTCCACAGCTGCCCCCGATATCTACCCATAAGAAGTGATTTGGAGACATGACAGTGAATCACAACCAACCCAAGGCCAGAATAGGCCCAACACACAACACTTCTTATCAGAGAGTGAGAGATCATTGACAGATCATTCCAGGTTGTGACCAGTCCCTCAAATCCATTTCAACCATTTCAATTTACAGTGGCCCAGCAATGCTCCTGATAGCAGTTGAGAGACTACTGTCCATCGTCTTCTTCCTCACACTGTGGCATGACTGTCGTAGATCCCCAGGTGATCCCCAGTGTCCCTCTTCATCCTATCAATGTGTCTGAAGATTCCAGGATTCCAAGAGGAGGGCTGCAGGACTTTCTACTCTAGGGAATGACTTTCCATAGTAACCAGAGGTGACCATAGTAAACCATGTATGTATACATAGGACTAGATCTTCCTCTATACCCTCTCACTATCCACATTAATGTCTAAGTTTCTTGTCAAGATCAGGCAAGATAATTCTGGTTGCAGCCTGGGAGTGCTATAGTGATCCAGGCAGCCATGTTTCACCCCTCTCTTTATTCTTTCCAACCATCACCACTACCAGTTATCAGAGAGTCCAGACCTCACAATTACCAAGGGATCCATACAACACCAAGATCTTTGTCTCATGGCATGGAAGATCAGGTCCTGGGCATCTTGTTCCTCTTCCTCCTGGAGATCCTGGAAGCCTCCTGCAAACCTAGTACACATACTTCACATGCCAGGAATTGGCATGGTTCCAGGAATTCCTAAAGAAGAATGGATTTCTAAAGTCTCTTCAGCTGGTCTTCAACTTTCTACTTGGCTTAAATAAGGATTTACCATGTTGTCTGTCAAGGTGTACCTGGTAGTGATATTGACTCATTCCACAATCCCTTCACTTGATTCACTCATACTAGGGTAAAGCAATGCTTAAAGAGGACTAACACCTTCCCCCTTGTATCACTGATCACACCAACATGGGACTGTTGTCTTGTCCTACAGGACAGAACTTTCAAACCTTTAGCAGTGATTTAGTTATACCCATTGTCTGTGAAAGTTATTCCTCCTTGCAGTTACCTCCACCAGATGAGCCTGAGAACTCTGCATCCTTAGGGCGAACTTACAGTGAAATAAAAAAGAGTGGTCTTCTACACAGAGACAACCTTTTTGCCCAAGGTGGTGTCCTTTCACAGACTCTAATGTTATGCACCTTTTACCATAATCTGCCTATACTCACTAGATCACACCCAGCATTATACTTCTGCATAGTATGAACTGCCCCACTTAGATGCTGTCAGCATTTGCTCATCTGTTATGGATCAACAAACGGGCAACCAGCCTCTCTCCAAAGACTCTCCAAGTGGATCTCAGTGAGCAGAGTCCTGTGTTACAAACTGGCGTACTGGCTGTTACCACAGTCTGTCATTGCTCACTCTGGCAGAGCAGCTTCAACCAGTCTACATCATTCTTCCAGGCATGCTGCTCTTAGACATCTCCTGTACAGTGACCAGAGCACAATTCTTTCTTTCTTTCTTTCTTTCTTTCTTTCTTTCTTTCTTTCTTTCTTTATTTATTTATTTATTTATTTATTTATTTATTTATTTATTTATTTATTTAATTTTGATTATTTATATGTCATCTTTCTCCTAATAAGGAACCCAAGGTGGATTACACCAACTAAAAGTATAAAAGAAACAACTGTTTGAAAATGCCATATAAATATATTAAAAAACAATTAAACATATATCAAGATAAGCAAGATTAAAAACAATTTTAAAACATTTTTAAAACATTCAGTTATCTGTAGCTTATTAAGCAAAGCATCCCTGAGGTACTTACTGCTTAAAAGTCTGCCTGAAAAGGAAGGCCTTTGCCTGACAATGGAAGAACAACCTGGCTTCTCTACCTTTATGTCACATTGCAGAATAGACACAAGATTGCATCAGGATGCCACTTTTGGCAGAGATTTTTTTTATCTGTTCTGCAAGGGCATCTTCCCTGCTTTCAGAGGTAAACTGATTAGTCTTCCGTGTGTGTGAGTCAATAGAAATCAGAAAGGAAGAGGACAGGTTGCTTACCTGTAACTATGTTTCTTTGGTTGTTGATGGCACTCATACAGCTCGTCATCCTCCCCTCTTGGATATCCTGTCTTGTATTCTTGGCAGACTAGGAACTGGAGGATTGGGAAGATTGGGAAGTATGCACAACAAAGAAGGTAGGCCTCTCATCGAAACTCAGTGGTCTCAGCTAAGAAAGTTCTGGAACATGGGCCAGTAAAGCCCATATACGTGAGTACCACAAAGGACAACTCGAAGAAACACAGTTATTGGTAAGCAGCCTGTCCTTCTGAGTACTGTTTATCTGGAAAATGTCACCAGTAAATTGGAATCAGTGATGGTGTGTAATTATTATTAACATTGTCTTCACATCAGTAAAAGCTACCGTATTTTTCGCACCATAAGACATACTTTTCCCCCTACATAACAGGGGGTGGAAAGTCTGTGCGTCTTATGGAGCGAAGAAAACAGATTATATTTTCCTGTTTTCTCCTAAAAAATTGGTGCGTCTTATGGAAAGGTGTGTTTTATGGAGCGAAAAATACGGGTAAGTGTTAATTTAAGAATTCAGAATTTCATAGAGGCACATTTACCTCAAACATTAAGTTTAGTGTTAATGTAGTATAACCACTCTTCTGTGTAGATTATCAAAGCTTGGACAAGATATCTTTCCTTCTGTCCCATCTCTCAGGACCTTAATGTTCCCTTAGGAAAGTTCTCTTGACAGATCACACCTCATTGCAGTTCTTTCTTTTAAAAAAAGATTGTATTTTTTTTTTATATCACAGAGCACTATTAACCCTGTTGATGCAATATATCAACCTAGTCTGCTGGAATCATCAGTGATCAGCACAATGCCTACTCAGACTGTCTTACCTCCAGGTACAGTATATGAAAACTACTTGTAGAAATGTTTGGAGACAAAAATGACCCAAAGGTCCCACCATCCCTGTGTTGTAGTACATATTTAATTCTTCCCTCTTCAAATGAATGTGTTGTTTTACAACACATAGTTTGTTTTTTATTACAGTTGGCTCAGCTCATTAAACTTCTCTTTGCATTTCTTCAGCTGGTTTTTTTTTTTTTTAGCACTGAAATTTAATACAGTAGCTGCAAAACTAGGAATTGGGGTGGAGAAAGTTCACACTTCAGTATACAGAGGAAGAAAACAAAACAGGTTACATTTGCACAGTAATGTCTTGGAAACGCTGAAAATGTGTGCCTGTCATGTTTCATTAATTTCTTTAATGTCTTAAAGAACCAGCCCAGCTTTGCAAATCAGAACAACGGCCGTCATCCTTGGCTGTTGGGCCTGTTATGACATTACTTGGAAACCACCAGACTCCAACACCAAACAGTACAGGTATATATATCTTTTGTATTGTTTTCAAATATGAAATTGCACCTTGTAAGGTTTATGTTTAAAAAGATCTTGAGAGCAAAGATTGAATGCTGCATTTTGCTTGAACAGTTCTTCTCCTGAAAGAGCAAATTGGCTGGAAATTCTGTAGGCCGCCATTTTCAGAGGGGTGTGTGAATAAATAATGTAATATACTGTATAATTGATCCTGCCAGCTGGTCACCCATTCATCCTCCTTTGTCCAAGGATCTTCCAGTTCAGAAATGTCTTCAATGGTTCATGTGGGAAAGAGGGGAGTGAGCAGCTCTGGGATGAAGGGAGGATAGACTAGTAACTCCCAAGAGAACAGAGGGGTGATGCCATGACTTCATGTCTGAAAAGGAACAGACATATCAAAACCAACTTTTGCTAGTGTATAAGCCCATTTTAGTCTTGTTAGAAATAGGCAGTGTGATGTTACATAAACCGTGAAAAAAGGTTGTATTACATGTAACAGTATTTGTGTGCCACTGATCCAACTGCCCTGAATTGTTACTCTAATGTTTAGTGATATTCATATTACATAAATAAGCTTCACTCCCTGGATGAGACTGTCATTTTCCATCAGTGCTCTTGTTATATTCCCATGCAAAATATTCATGTAGTTCCAGTTCATACCAGCAATGATAGCTGTACACTCTGATTCATGACTTCATTGGACAGAGCAGATGATCGCCTCACTCACACAAGGGTGATTTCAGATTATTACATCTATTAATTATCAAGGATATTCCTCCATTACTTCAGTGACCACTGGATATTATTTTGCCCTTCTTTGTAATATTTAGATTGTCACACTTGGCAATCATCTGTACTTCTGTATTGGACAGGTGATTTGTTCTGCTGTCTGCTTGTGATGTACAGTGGTGCCTTGCTTAACAACGATAATCCGTTCCAGGAAAATCGCTGTTAAGCGAAAACATCGTAAAGCAAAATTAAAAAGTCCATTGAAACGCATTGAAAACCCCTCAGTGCATTACAATGGGCTAAAAACTCGCTGTCCAGTGAAGATCCTCCATATGGCGGCCATTTTCGGTGCCTGTATAGCGAGGAATCTGTCCCTAAGCACAGCGGGGAGCCATTTTAAGCACCCGACGGCCATTTTGAAAACCTGACAATCAGCTGTTTTTGATCGTGATAAAGGGAAAATCGGTTACCGAAGCAAGGAACCGATCATCGCTAAGCGAAATTCCCCCATTTAGACCATCGTTTTGTGATCGCAATTGCGATTGCAAAAACATCGTCGTAAAGCGGATTTGTCGTAATGCGGGCTATCGTTAAGCAGGGCACGACTGTACTGTAATCTGATTGTGTGTATTGATTTGGAAAAAAATTGTCATACTTGCATCCCAGACACTTTAATGGATCTCTTCCACTCCTCTGATTGTTATTAATTAATTTGATGAAGATCATATTTCAAGTATGTTTATAAGTAGTTACCTATGTTGAGCTTTATGAAACTAATATATCTTCAAAGACACTAGAAGTGACTTGCTTACAAACCATGAACACTTTGTAACTTATTTTGCATAATATTCACAGGAAGTGGACAGTCAGCGCCCAGTAGCAGTTTAACTTCTCCGAGCCATGTCAATCTTTCTCCAAATACTGTTCCAGACTTCTCATATTCCAGCAGTGAAGATGAATTTTATGATGCTGATGAATTTTATCAGAGTAGCTCATCCCCAAAGAGATGTTTGGAGTAAGTGATGGAAAGTCTGCTACCCTTTGAGAATTGCAGGGAGTGGTTAAGGCAACTCTGGAAACTAAATTTCTGTTATTCAGAATACATTGCTTTATAACCTCCATTTACTATATGTAAACAGTACAACATTTACCTTCTCGGAGATTTTGCATTTATTTGCAGACGACATTAGCACTTGTAGATGTCACTAGGCATTTATTGTGTATTAGCAAGCTATTGTTTGTGTTTGGAAACATGATTTATGTGGTCCCCAGCTCAAAAAACCCATCACAGCCATGAACACAATACTGACTTCCACATAGCTACCTAGCATCTTTCTCATTTCTGCATGTGGGCTAAAACAGGACTACTGTGTAGATCAGTGGTTCCCAGGTTCCCAATGCTGGGTAATCCAGATGTTCTTATACTGTAACTCTCAGAAACCCTAGCCAGCAGAGGTGCTGATGAAGGCTTCTGGGAATTGCAGTCCGAGAATATCTGGGTTACCCATGGTTGGGAACTACTGGTATAGATGGATTGAAATTCTTTCTGAGAATATATATAAAAAGCTTATAGTTGTGTCAATAAATTAAATAAGTGGAATGCTTTACATTCTGTGGTACTTTTCTGCTGTGTCCTGTCCACCAGAGGAACTCCTATGGAATCCTAAAACTCTATCCTGAGCTGTAGCAGGTCCTGGGATTTAGCAGTGGTGGAACAGTGACAGAGAAGAAGTGAGGAAAATCAAACAGAGGGGCAACAGAGGCTTTGGGTGATACTGTCTACCCTAAGCCCCCCTCATCCTCATGCATCACTCCAAACTTTTCATAGTAATAGCAAAGCTTTTTGGGGAGCACAGCAACTGCAAGGAATAGGAAAATGAGGGAAAGTGCAATTCTCTGCCTCTTTTTTCCTTGCTTAACTTTTGGATATCACCCTTTGAATGTTTGAAGACATAACTAGTGCAAAAATGTTTGTTTTCTTTTTATCTCTGTACCATTTTCTTAAAGCTGTAATTATTTTAGTCATTTTTCTCAGTTATGTCTCATAACAGCTTTCACAACCATACTGTGTTTTGAATTGTCTAAAATGTATTTACCAACAAGAGATTTGTGTCTTTCTTTAGTCCTTCAGGGACAGGGACAATCCTAACATGTAGCAGCACAGGAAGCAGTATGAAACGCCCAGACACAGCAGAGTCCCTCGATTCTTCTATGTCTAATGGTACAAATGACACAGGTAAGAAGTTTATAAACAGCACAGAGCCGAAAATTTCATTAGTACAAAACTGTTTTGCTGGTAAAAATAAAAGATACAGAAATACATAGAAAATATGTGCTCTCCTGTTATAAAAAGTATCACTGAGGAGCCTAATGCTGAGGGAGGTCTGGAAAGAAAAAACAAGAAACCAGGCCTTCTCAGCAGTGGCTCACTGTCTCTGAAACTATCTCCCCTCTGAGATTCGTTTGGCCCCTTTGCTGGGCATTTTCAAAAGCCAACTTAAGACCTGGCTATTCAGACAGGCCTTCCCTCCAGGTACCACTTAATTTTTTCTGATTCTCCATCTTGAAAGATAATTAATTGTTGTAAATTGTGGTAAAATTGTTTTATATGTCAGTTGTTTTTACTTGATTGTTGTGAGCCACCCAAAGTAGACTAAGTCTAGATGGGTGGCATATAAGTCTAATAAATAAATAAAATAAATAAATAAATTTCAGAAGCAGGGGGAAATATTAGTCATCTGCATGCTTGTTTTTAAATTCTGTGGTTTTTGAAAATGTAGACTAGTAATTTAAAGTATTTATTTTCATAGATCTTTTTGATCCTCCTGATGATAGAGATGATGATGCTGAAGGAGAATCTGTGGAGGAACACAAAAGTGTCATCATGCATCTTTTATCGCAAGTCAGGTTAGGAATGGACCTAACAAAGGTAGGATTCAAAACTGTGCAGATTCTCAGTCATCCAGGTGTTGTTATCTGGAAGTTGAGCTATGGCAACTGGACTTCTTTCTTGTTAGGTTGAAACGTTTCGCTACTTATCCAAGTAGCTTTTTCAGTCTGAGGAGAGTTTGTAGAAGATCCCTGATATATCCTCCATGTTGGTTTCACTCCCCCCTGGCATTCTACAATAACTAATGCAGTACATATTATTCATTATAGATGTTATTCTTGGTCTTAGTGATCTCTATTTATTCACACTAAAGGGTCTTCACCTGCACAGAGGTACCCCTTTATAAACTTCTAGTTGAAAAGAACATTTTCAAAAAAGTGGCTGTCCAATGAGGCCTTACAAATAGGAGAGAAGAGAAGGGAAACAAAATGCAAGGGAGATAGGGAAAGTTACAGAAAATTGAATGCAGACTTCCAAAGAATAGCAAGGAGAGACAAGAGGACCTTCTTAAATGAACCATGCAAAGAAATAGAGGAAAATAATAGAAAAGGAAAAACCAGAGATCAGGAAAATTGGAGATATTAAAGGAATCCTGTGTGTAAAGATGGACATGATAAAGGACAAAAATGGGAGGGACCTAACAGAAGCAGAAGACATCAAGAAGAGGTGGCAAGAATACACAGAGGAATTATACGAGAAAGATCTGGATGTCCCGGACAACGCAGATAGTGTGGTTGCTGACCTTGAGCCAGACATCCTGGAGAGTGAAGTCAAGTGGGCCTTAGAAAGCATGGCTTTTGTTGATGGCCTTGTCTCCCGTATTTACATTGTCATCAGTTTGATTTTGTCTTCTCTCAAGGCCACAGCAAATATAAAATGTTCCATGAGAGGGGAATTGGGAGAGAGAAAATAGTTCAATTTTGTCTTATCTCGATTTTTCTCTATCACAACTATTTATTTACAACATACGAGTCGTATATTATTTTCATGATAATTATTTTACAATACATTTTATTTTTATTTCTGATTTTTAAAATATAGTGTAGATTGTAAAGAGAAACCCTACTTATTGTTCTTCAGATGCATCTTTTTTTGTTTTGTTTGGGGGAATGCTCAAATAGCCTTCACTTATAAAATCCACCTTCATTTTTCAAATTGAGCTCAGAAAAACCCATGTTTGATGGCCTCCACTTGTAAATCTCCAGGCATGCTGAAAGTCCTTGTGGTGCTAGTTGCTCCTGTCACGACTGCCACTGTTGCATCTTTGTTACATCAGTCATCTTAGCAGACCAGAGCATCATCATCAGCAGCACATTACCATCCATATTGACTGAGTGACCAATATCTCATTGATACAGAAAGTGTGCATTTCAGAAAAAAGTGGGATATTTGACCCTCCAAAAAAGAAAAACAGAGTGATTCTTCGTGGCCTCTGTGAATGCACACATATGGGTATTGTCTGCGCCTGTGCTGACTCTCTCGGAAGATTCTAGAGCTAAAAGTAACAATTTTATGGTGTGATCCTCCACGAGGTACATGCTCCTCCCACCCACCATCTTCCCCAGTTCTTTTTTTCCCATGGAGCTGAACGGTTCTCCGGAAAGATAGAGCGCTTTGCTATTGCCTTTTGGCTGCTTTTTCAGGCTCCTTTGAGCTTTTGTTTACTTTATCTCTTAATTGTATTGGCTACTTAGTGATCCTCCACATCTTTTGTTTGCCTAATTGGCCTCCTGCTGTTTTATTCCCTCTCCTTCCTCCCTTCCCCTCCTCCCCCCCGTTCCCCTCGTATGGCCTCGCCAGCTCCTTTCAAACGTTGTACTACTTGTGCGAATGAAATCGCACTCTCCAACGGCCACAGCCAGTGCCTTTTTTGCCTGGGTGAGGAACACCCGACCCATTCGTGCCCTGCTTATAAAAACTTAATCAAGCCGGCATTCAAACAGAGGCTCCAAAGACTTCGGTCTTTGGAATATGGCCATGAATCCTCCTGCTTCATCTTTGGAGGCTTTCAGATCTCCTACCCTCTCTGCGGATAGACTCCCAGCCAGCCAGTCTGCCTCTGACTCTGTATCTGTGCTACCAGCCAAGGACACTGTTGAAAAATCAAAACTGTCTGGTAAGCACAAGCTATCCTCCTTTGACAAATCTCGAGTGCACGATCCAGGCTTGGAGAAAAAGTCCAAACCCATCTTTGAAAAGCCCAGGAAGGATAAGCCTCCCCATGTAGAGCCACCTCAGCCTTCTCTACCCTCCCCTGTCCTCGAGGAATCATCCAGAGAAGTCCCAGACCTGGCCTCAGACGGAGATGAATCCCATGATGTTGCGGCCCCCTCCATGATGCCGCTCCAAACCCCGAGCATTGGCCTCATTGCGGCTGCGCCACAGTCCAGCCCAGCCTCGGCCCATTCCAATCCTGATTCAGGGCATGCAGCTGAAAGCTCGGCATCCGATCCAGAGATCCCCCCCCCTTCTCCTCCATGGAAGAGAACGGAGAAGCGAAAGCACCTCTCTCCACAGAGGTCTGTGGCATCGCAAGGCGATTTCTGCCCTTTCCCGATGATACCATACCAGTGCTTCGATCCCTTCATCTGGCAAACTCTATATGAACGTTACCAGTCTGACCAGCTTAAGCAGCCTCGCATGACACCAGACCATTCCCAGGCCACCCCCTTTAAAGACTCAAACCGCCTCCGCATGTCCACTTCTGCCCCGGCAGTCTCGACCTCATCTGCATGCCCCTCTGCTCCGTCTAAGTCAGCTCCACTATCCCAGAAACGAGGCAAGGCTCATAAAGCCCTACTCCCTTGTCCTGTTCCTCCAGTGCCGGACCCAATGTTTGCAAACGGAAAATGAGCTTGAGGAGTGCTATCATTTTGACCACAGCTACTCATCATAACAATAACAAGTGTTATTGTTACTGAAAAATTTTAAAATATAAAAAATAGCACAGAATGCTCTTGCCTTCTGCTGCATATGTAATACATCATTCCATGCATGGTGGCACTTTTCCAAAACTCATGAAGGGAAGTATCCAGAACTTGTGGTTGTTGTGGGTTTTTCGGGCTTTTTGGCCATGTTCTGAAGGTTGTTCTTCCTGATGTTTCGCCAGTCTCTGTGGCCAGTATCTTCAGAGGACTGGAGTAGGAACTCTGTCCTCTGAAGATGCCGGCCACAGAGACTGGTGAAATGTCAGGAAGAACAACCTTCAGAACACAGCCAAAAAAGCCCAAAAAACCCACAACAACCATCAGATCCCGGCCATGAAAGCCTTTGCGAATACATTATCCAGAACTTCCTTGCACGCATTATAAAGCCCTCTTGAAAACAACAGGTATGATCCTTAGATGGTGCAGTACAAAGCTGGAGATTGTATGTAGTAAACATTATGGACCAAAATAAATCTCATTTCACCTCATTTATAAAACTATCCCTCAGTTCTGATAGACATTGCTTTGGCGGTTTTGAACAGAGATTTGAGATTTAATTATTCCAACATTTGTATTAAAAAAACAAATAATGTGTGTCTCTTCTTCTCAGGTGGTTCTTCCAACTTTTATTTTGGAAAGAAGGTCACTCTTAGAAATGTATGCTGACTTCTTTGCACATCCAGACCTATTTGTGAGGTATGCAGTATTTTTCATTATATACTCTAGTCTATATATAACTGACTAGATAGGCGGGATATAAATTCAATAAATAAATAAATAAATAAATAAATAAATAAATAAATACTGATGTTGTATGAGCTTGTAGGATGCATGTTTGGCATTGAATCTAAACTTCTGCAGATATGTGCAGTTTCATGAATGTGTTTTTGTAGAAATACCATGAACTGGCTTATCCAGAGGTATTACCATATTTTTCGCTCCATAAGACACAGTTTTCCTCCCCCAAAAAAGGGGAGTGTGTGCATCTTATGGAGTGAGTACTATAAAAAAGGGTTCAAAACATCTCCAGCCACCACTACCCAGAAACCTCCCACTGCCGTGCTGGGAGGCCTCTGAACCGGCACCAGAGGCTGCTCACCATGGCAGCCGCATTGGACCTTGCCACTTTACCATCTGCGCTGCTGCCTTTCCAGGATCTGCATCCTGGAGCCCACCTGGAAAGCCAGCATGGCCAACAGGCCTATGGCAGCAAATTTAAATGGCACAGGGCAGTGAAAACAGCCAAGGACCAAAGGGGAAAGAGATCAAAGTGATTCTAGAAAGACCAGAGGAAAGCGCAAACGCAGTGCCCCACTACCACAAATTATGCAGTTGAGTTTCCCACATCTGGGGAAATCACAGGGATCAGCACACCTGAAGTGCAATGAATGAGCCTCACCCAGGGCACACACAGAAGGGGGCAGGACGTGCAGGAGCCACTCCAAATCATACTTACCTGGCAGGGGAGATACCATGATCATGAAGGTGGTTTTCCCAGGTTGAGGCTCACCCATTGCACTTTGGGTATGCTAATCCCTATCATTTCCCCAAATGTGGGAAACTTGACTGCATAAATTGTGATAGTGGGGGATTGTGTTTGTGCTTTCCCGTGGTCTTTCTAGAATCAGTTTGATCTCTTTTCCTCTCAACAAGACCCACTGCAAAGGCAGCAAGTCCTGGTGATGTCTTAGATTGCATTCCCCTCTTTTTCTCCCCAGCAGCAGAGGGCAAAAGGAGTCACCATGATCAGGAGCCAGGGGACTGCTTTGAGTCCTTTTGCCCTCTTCCTTTGCTGCTGGGGAGAGAAAGAGGGGGAATGCCATCTAAGACTGAGACCCACTGCATTTCCAAAGGCAGTCCAGACGACGGGATCACTTTTCCATGCGCTGCTTTTGCAAAGGCGGTCTCGGTGACTTGGATCTGGCATTCCCCCTCTTTCTCTCCCCAGCAGCATAGGAAGAGAACTATTTGGTTCAGAATATTTTTTTTCTGTTTTCCTCCCCTAGAAATTATGTGTGTCTTATAGTCAGATGCGTCTTATTGAGCGAAAAATATGGTATTTGCTGCTTGTGTTCTCTAACAAGCTTGGAAGAATATTGACCAGACCATCATGATATATTGGCAACTAATCCAGCCCCATAGTGGTTATGGAATTAGTTTTCCTTCAGGTGTGAATGAAAAGTTAAACCATCACAGGCTTTTCCTTCTAAAAATAAAGGTCTTGAACAGATCTTTTCCATGTATTTGGTTTCAAAATAAGATACATTTTTATTACTTTTGTTTTCTTTAGTATTAGTGACCAAAAAGATCCAAAGGACCGAATGATTCAAGTGGTGAAGTGGTACCTCTCAGCTTTCCATGCTGGAAGAAAAGGGTCTGTTGCTAAAAAGCCTTACAATCCTATCTTAGGAGAAATCTTCCGATGTCACTGGGTCCTGCCGGGTTCTGAACAAGACGACAATACAGTTAGTAAAATTTATTAATTGCCATTACTTGCTAACTATGTTGCTAGTAGATGGTCTGTCCCTTCACGTTTCCTTTACTGTGAAGAGCAAACCATGTCTGTGAATCCAAATAATGAAAGTTACAGAAGGGGAAAGGAAATGACGCTGTCTTGAAATATGGTTGGAATAAATCACTTATTATTAAGACAGGCAAGGATCACTTTACAACCATGAAGTACAATCACTAGCTCATCTCCCCCACCCCTCTGACGCTTTTAGCAGCCATTACCCTAAACACTTCTAAAACTTTCTCTGTAGTTATGAAAGCAGAGATTTTCAGGATTTGTACTCCGACAGTTTTGTTTTACTTCTACCATGGTGTAAGTATTTGCACATAGTAGAACTGTGCACATAATAGAACGCTGTGCTGAGGTTTAATCCATCACCAGCTGTTTTTCATTTCTGCTTGTTTTGTAGCATCACAGCTATCTTAAAGTAAGCTCTCTTTGATTTCAGTGTTTGGAGGATGTCAAGATGCCGTGTGCTGGAATTCTGAAATTCTTTAAGGCTCTGTGTCATTTACCTTTTCTTTTGTCTCATGAGATTTTTAGGCTGAAAACATTTCTGAATATCCCAGTGTACACATCTTAAAAGCTCAGTATCATGTAAAACTGGAAAACATTTTTTGCAGGAGACAGTTGCAGATGGACCACTTCCATGGGTTAATCAGAACAGTGTAACATTTGTTGCAGAGCAAGTTTCTCACCATCCTCCAAGTAAGTAAATAAAGTTTCACTGTAGCCCACTTCCGAAGACTGTTTTGATGTGGATAGCCTTTTGTTACCAGTTTATTACGAAACTGAAGACAGGTTTCCTCTGTAGATTTCATACTTGAAAAACTAACATCCAAGAACACTATACGCTACATTCAGTGCTTCATAATTTACTATGTATGCTTCTCCTTTAAGTTTCAGCATTTTATGCAGAATGCTTTAGCAAGAAAATACAGTTCAATGCCCACATCTGGACCAAGTCAAAATTCCTGGGAATGTCTATTGGTGTTCATAATATAGGCCAAGGTATGTCTGTCACAAATGTAAACTGTATCTGTTCCATAGTTCCATAACTGTACATGCATTTGTGATAAAGTACAGTGGTACCTCGACTTACGAACTTAATCCGTATTGGAATGGCATTCGTACGTCGAAAATTTCGTAAGTTGAGGCAAACTTTTCCATAGGAATGCATTGAAAACCATTTAATCCGTATCTGCTGTTTTTTGTTCGTATGTTGAGGTGCTGTTCGTAGGTAGAGAGGCATTAGTTCCCATAGGAACTTTGCAACCCGCCGATCAGCTGTTCAGCGGCTACAAAATGGCCACCGGAAGCCCCAAAATGGCTGCGCGCAGCGTTTTCGTGCCCTCGTAAAGCGAGGGGAGGGCGCGAAAATGGCTGCCGGCCATAGGGAAGCATCGCTGAACGGTGAGTATTCGGCACAATTGGAACGCATTAAACCGTGTTTAATGCGTTCCAATGGCTTTTCCTGCCCCGTTCAACAATGCTTTCACACAGCGAGGGTTAATCCGGAACGGATTAACCTCGCTGTGCGAGGCACCACTGTATCTCCTACATATTGAGGAGAAAACATCTGCCAGTTGGTTAATGGACAATAATCATTGGATGATTTGATTCTTCTTGACCTACATTTCCTCTTGTATTGGCTTTTCTTAAACATGGAACTGTATTTTTAAAATGAGTAATTTTAGTTGAAGCAGTAATCACATGGGGGAATTGGGAGAAATGTCCTATATTTGCCCAAAATATTTTAGGTGGCAATAACATAGTGGCTATTTTTCTGATTCTGCTCGATTTCTCCATGGAAAATCACTTTGTAGCTTGAATTCCCAAGAGTAGTTTGTTTCATTCGTCAATTTTGTCTTCAGCCATCTGACATTCCTGCCATCTTTCATGATAAAAAGGGAGTGCTTGTTTGATTTTCACAGTATGTATTCTGTTCTACAGGATGTGTGTCATGCCTGGATTATGATGAACATTATATTTTGACTTTCCCAAATGGTTATGGGAGGCAAGTGAAACTTGATTCTTTGTAGCATTTTTGTAGCAGTAACAAAACTCTTTCTCCCCTAATTCTTTAATGGCCTCTACTGTTACCTTCACAGATCCATTCTCACAGTGCCATGGATAGAACTGGGAGGAGAGTGTAGCATTAGTTGCTCCAAGACAGGCTATAATGCTAGCATAACCTTCCACACAAAGCCTTTCTATGGCGGGAAAAAGCACAGAGTTACAGCAGAAATCTTGTAAGTATATTCAGGGGTTTTGAGAACCAAGTTTTTTCAAGACTGTAATAGAAACATTTTGTGGTGGTATCAAAGTAGCATAGAGCTTTTTGGAGTATGTCATGGTAGTTGTATGCATCGGACAAGACTGCATGAGATGTCTCTTTTTCTTCTTCCTTTTCTTTTAGTTCTCCTAATGACAAGAAATCTTTCTGCTCTATTGAAGGAGAATGGAATGGTGTCATGTATGCAAAATATGCGACAGGGGTAAAGCATCATCTTTCTTCATTTTCTTTATCAGTAAGCTGGGATGAATTGTTTTAGTGTTTACATGAAAATTTAAAAAATACCTTATGAATTTCTCTTCCTTTAGTTTTCTTTGGAGGAGGGTTTGAAACTAAGTTATCATTTCCAAAGTCTTTTTAAAAGAGAGTGAAAAAGTTTGAGTCTCATGATATGAGGACCAGCATATCTAAGGGTTAGCATCAAATGCATTGATCCTGGTCCATGGTTACTACTAGCATCTTTGCTGTGAAGCTACTTGCACTACTAGAGAGAACTGTTGCTGGGTTACACTGAGTTTATCTTAGCTGAAGGAAATACAGCAGATACAGAAACCAGGATATAATCCAGATGTGGACAACTGTGATGTTTCTGGACTGCAATTCTTAACATCCATCAGAATTGTCTGTTGGTAAGGGGCTGATGGGACAAACAGTTCAAAAACATCTGGAGAGTCATGTGTTCCCCATCCTTGAGATAATGAAAAGCTAGACGAAGAAGTTAACGCTGAAAAATGTAAAACAGTAGTAAATTTCTTCTTTTAGGAGAATGTAGTCTTTATAGATACCAAGAAAATGCCTATCATTAAGAAAAAAGTACGAAAACTGGAAGATGAAGAAGAATATGAATCCCGCTGGTAAGAACCTAACAATTTTCCTATCAGTCTTACTATAGTTAGACCATTTGGAAGATATTCAGGAACCAGACTAAATTCTAATTAAAGAAAAATAATGTGTGTAAGGACAATTGTACAGAGTTAAATCTTTCTTCTGAAGTCTTGATGTTGATCTGCAACAGAGACCACTTTTTAGAACCTGTGGTGCAGTTTTGGTAAAAAACGGTTTTCTGTCTTTCTGTGTAAATGTGACTTTTCTCCAGCCTATGGAAAGATGTAACATATAACTTGAAGATCAGAGACATTGACGCAGCTACTGAAGCTAAGCATAGACTTGAAGAAAGGCAAAGAGCTGAAGCCAGAGCCAGGAAGGAGAAAGAAATCCCATGGGAGACACGGGTAAGATTTATTCAGCTACTACGGTAGTTCTTTTGTGAATTTTCTATCCTGCTATGAGATTTATAAGTGAGTGGTGGTCTTTTTTTTCCCCCCTCAACAGCTATTCCATGAAGATGGAGAATGCTGGGTTTACGACGAGCCACTACTCAAACGACTTGCTGCCAGTAAATACTAAACAGGCCATGCCTGTGAACTTCAAGCCTTGGCTTAGTGGCACCACTTGTAACTTCCAAGTACTCTTCTTTTGAGAGAGCCTATCTCCTTCAGTTACAGTTCCTATCTCAGGGATACTGGACTTTCTGAACAATTAAAACAGGAAGAGCTTTGACTGTGTAGCAGTAATTTATATTGGCCTTTCCTGTCTGACCTCCCTGTGCTTCTAGGAGAATTAATAAACCCTGGGCTTGAGGCCCCTCATGTACATTTTCTCCACCGCTGTAGAAGGAGCAGTGAGGCATTTGATCCCAGTTGTCTAGCATTCTTCATCATACATACCTGTGTATGGCTTGACATCATTACAGCCAGTAAAATTTTGTGTAAATATAAAGATTTCTTTGGCCAGTTTAGAAAATGCAGAAGTCTTATCTACCAAATGTGTTTTTTAAAAAACACAATATCAAACTTGGCATTTCATTGTTTCCCCAGATAACATTGGTATTTTTAGAAACTAAGATGTTATTATAGATTGCCATTTGATTCACACTGGTGCATATATAATGCTTCATAAAATAGATTTTCAAATGGATGCATTGTTTTATTTGAGTGAACCTTTTCCACAGCAAGAATGGTTTAAAACTGCATTATAGCAAAGTTCAAACAATACTGAGAATGTGTTCATGTTGTTCCACAAGGAGATACCAATTTAGTTGCTCTTCTGGAATCAGAAGCAAATTCTTAATATGTGGTTGTCATTTAATATATAGAATGCACTTCAGTGATCACAGCTTCAAGTTACATTAATTGTGCAGATGGGGACAAAGCAGTTACATGGATGCCAACTTGATCTTTTTACAAATCATGGTAGTAATTTCAGTGCAGTGCTTTTCTTGGTTAACTTCCTTCATTCTTTACCAAAAGTAAACAGCCTGTCCTAGGACTAACTATAGTTGTATAGCAAATGAAAGATAGCTTCCCTTTCAGTGCATGGTGTAGCAAAAATTAAGAAACAGTGGTGCCTCGACGTACGAACTTAATTGGTTCCGGGACTCCAGTGGTAACTCGAAGCACCATTTCCCACAGGAATGCATTGAAATGCAAAGAAAAAATCACACACAAACAAAAAATTCACTGCAAGACCCATTGGAAACGCAATTAATCCATTACGGCCGAAGGGGGGGGAGAAAAACAAGCAGAGCATGCAAGACCCATCAGAAATGCAAAAAAGCAAAGCAGAAAGCAAGCAGAGCATGCAAGACCCATTGGAAATTGGGGGCAGACCAAAAAGCAAGCAAACCCTCCAAGACCCATCGGAAATTGGGAGGGGACTCCAAAAAGCAACAACCCCCCAAGACCCATCCGAAACGGGGGGGAAAACCAAAAAACAAACAAATCTGCAAGAGCCATCACAGCATAGAAACATAATCCCACCACCCAACCCAAAACCACACTGCAAAACCCACCCAGAACAGTTTTTAAAAAGCAGAAAGCACCACCTTACCTTACCAGGCAGTCCGAACCCTCCTCCGATTGCACACAGTCTAACTGTTGGGGCAAAAGAGCTACAAAGAAGCAGCCTCATCGCCTACCAACAGTTGACAATTTGAATTTCCTGCCTTTTTCTGTTCGTAACTGGAAGCTCCGGCTGCAAGTCGAAGCAAAATTTTGTAGCCGGAGCTGGTCGTAATTCAAAATGGTCGTAAGTTGGGACATTCGTAAGTCAAGGCACCACTGTAGTTTGACAGCTGCCCACTTCATGGGGGACTACAGCTGTCTGATACCACCAGAAGAGTGGTTTTGAAAGTTCTGTGTATTGTTCCAAGATGAACCAGAAATCAACTCTACTGTTTCCCTTAACAAGTCTCAAGGAAAGTTCCAGGCTCCCATCTTGGCAGAGTTAGGGGTAGGGTTAGGAGAGTGGTGGCTTTCCAGCTGGTGAAATTCCCAACTCTTAAGCAATTCCAGCTAGTCTGATCAAAAGCCGCCAGGCATCATGGAAACCAACCCACCAGTGTCCATTGAAGGGGTTGACATGTGCTGCTCTAGTGTGTGTGTTACAAGCTCTTGATAAAGATTTCACACAAGTAGCAGTTGATGCATATTTTGAATGTGCCTTATTTGCAGGTAACATTCTCCTCCTTAGTCTTTTCAACTTAGCAGACTAAGGATAGAGTTTATGCATTTTTGTTAATGTAGACACAAGTGTTTAGTCTTTCAAGACTAAAATTTAATTTCATCAAAGTACCAGCACAGTGAAGTTTCTTCAGGGGTTAAAATACCTTAAAATTAAAACTGATCCAGGATGGATTTCAGAGAAACTTATGTTACAGTATAACAACCTGCACATAAAAATAAGCTAGTATCTTAGTTTATTGCACATGGTGTCTCAGAGAATTCATTCTGAACTACCTCACACAGATGATCCATAGCTTGTATCCACTCTTTATTGAAGCTAGGAGTGTTTTTGTATTAAACTGTTGTACACAAGCAGGGTATCAATTTTAAGTAGGTTAATTCATACACATTGGATAGCAGCTAAATATAATTTGTTCCCTAAAATAAAACACACAAAATTGAAAACCTCAGAGTTCAGTTGCAAACCTGCTTGTGATCTACCTCAAGGAAAAGGATCCACTACATCAGTGGATACTTATTTCTGTGTAAGTTTTCAATCTGCTTATTCTTTCCCTGACTACTATACTGCATATTTTTACCAACATGACTCCTGTTTATGTACCCCTTGCCTCTTCAAAAACATGCTTGTGACAGAATAGACCATGGAAGGTATTTGATTACTCATTTTCCAGAACGCAAAGTAGGTTGGCTTCTTTGTAGCAAAGTGGGCCACCCGTCAGTGTTCAGTAGTTTGTATTATACATTATGACTGTCTGAGTTATTTTAGTATCTTATGGTATGGGAGAACATTGAGAGTCGAGGTATACACTTTGATGTCCTTGATACAAGTTGCATCTGTCAAAGAAGAAGGGTCCAAGAACACTAACTGGGGTATTTCATTGCATGAAGGACTGTGAATATTTGAGAGAGCTGCAGCGTCTGTATCACCTTCATGTGCTCCAAATCCAACCACCTAAGAACGGGGGGGAAAAAGATTACTAGATGGAAAATTTTACAAATAAAATTATACCTCTTCTATATTGATTTTTAAAACCATATTCAGGCAGATATTGTGCTTGAGCAGTCTAGCTTTTTTAGGCCTTGAATATCCACTAAGCATAGAACAGTAACTTAAGAAAAGCCTCTTAAAAAGATGATCCACAGACAACAAATTTACATCTGAAGTACTACATGAGAAGGATTTATAACATGCTAATTTCTGCACACCGTCCTGCTGCTATAGTTTAACACAGGGGTGGGTAATTAATTTCTATAGGGGGGCACATGAAAAATCTGAACTGTGTTCGGGGGCCGAACCAACTTTACTTAAAAATAAAATGAAACAGTGATGTTATGATTGTTTTTATTTTAAACTTTTTAATCTTCACAAATACTAAAGAGGTTTTTTGCGGTATGTTAAAGATAAGCAACTGATCAACTTTAGACAAAAAGCTATAAAAGCAAATGGTTTTGATGTTCAACTTGTTCAGTGAGAGAAATCCAGTCTGTCTCAGGCTAGAACAATGGACTGGAGCAATGACCAGCGGGCCGTATGTGGCCTTTGGGCCACACTTTGCCCATGTCTGGCTTAACAGCTGTGTCAAATCTTTGTTTCTCTACTGTATGCCCACCAAAAGAGACATAAATATTTCTAATGAGGTAGCTGTGTTAATCTGTCTCAGCATGTACAGCAAAAACAAAAATGTTGCTGAATCTGAAAAAACAAATACTTTCAACATAAGCTGATTGATCACAATCCAGTGTCTCAGACAGAACAGCTTAATTCCTGTTGAGTAACCACATAGGAATACATGGTAGTGATATCAGCCTGCAATATTACTCTCTAATTTAAAGTGCCCTCACCATTTACAGTTTCTGAGTCTTCCTAGGAATCCCTTTCAACCTGGGAAAGCCTTTAGTAAATCCCCCCTCGCAAAAGTAGTGCTGGCAGTGTTCCAGTATTAAAGCCCCCACCTCTCGCCACAGCTACAAAATGTTTTCTTAGATTGAAAGGGGCCCTTAGGAAGTCTCAGAACCTGAAGCAGGTGGGACTGGGAGTTTTAAATTAAATAGTAACACTGGCAACAATGTTATCAGCCCCCAAATACACTGGTAGAGCTCTGCCACTGTGGGTCCCCTTATCAGGAGAAAAGAGGCCTATAAATAAAATAAATAACTAATTTAATAGCTGAAATCCAGTTTAAGTCTTTGAGGAGCAGAAACAATTTTGCTTTTAGTTTTGCTATAGAGGTACCAATAGATACTTCTGAAGTGTAGTACTAAATACTCCCCAATAACCTGTTAACTGCGGAAGAAGAGGTCTCTTTTTTTGGACCCTTCCATTGCTGGCAAGCAGCCCCCAAAGGAATGTCACTCTTTGACATTATAAAAAAAATTGCCCATCCTATCCAAAACATAAAAGTGCCTTGACTCTAAAAGGATGGCAACAGCAACACAGCTCAGTTTCATGCAGTTGTCTTTTAGAAGATGTGTTTGCTATTAATACTTACATGTACACTAAGCACTTTCCTGTCTTTAGCTCTGTGTGCTTGAAACCAGGCCACTAGTTCGGCTTGAGAAAGGGATTTCAGAGCTTCAATCTTAAAGGGAAAAAAAGAATATGAAAACATCAGCACAGTATAAACCCTAAGCCCTTTTCAGCTACAGAGGGTGTCTACCGTGAGTACATGATATTGTGTTACATCAGAATATGTGAGAGATCATCTTTTGTGAAATAGAGGAGGAGGGGGAAGACCAAGAGCAGCTACAACTCATATTAGCCCTAGGCAGCATAGCCAATAGCGGCGGCTCAGGGGAACTCGTAACAGAGCCACACGTATGCCCCATCAGTATTTAAAGAAAGCTGGAATGATTCCATACAAATACAGTGGTGCCTCGCATAGCGAGGTTAATCCGTTCCGTATTAACCTTCGCTATGGCGAAACATCGCTGAACGGGACAGAAAATCCCATAGGAACGCATTAAACACCGAAAAGCCCATAGGAACGCATTAAACATTAAATGAGCCGAAAACTCACCGTTCAGCGATGCTTCCCGGGTCCGGCAGCCATTTCCGCGCCCTCGTTAAGCGAGGGCAGGGTGCGAAAACGCTGCGCGCGGCCATTTTGGAGCCGCCGAACAGCTGATCGTCGGGCTTCGTTTTGCGAAGATCGGTAAGCGAAACGCTTACCGATCTTTGCAAAGCGAGTTTTGCCCATAGGGGCCATTGGTATGCGATCGCATTTGCGATCGCTGAGACCCCATCGCTATGCGATTTCGTCGTTATACGGTGCGCTCGTTAAGCGAGGCACCACTGTAAATGCTCCTGTACACGTCCACTTGGAGCATCATCCGTGGATTAGTAACAGCATTCAGTCAGTTTAGGATGTTGATGCTACTCGTGTTGGATTGCAAGCCCTGATTAAAGTTCTATACAAATGCAACAGTGCCAGCAGTAAGAATGAACTATTCTTATCCCCCAACAAGACTGCTCCTGCTCAGGTTCCTTAGGCACACTATGTCTGTACCAAATAGGCCAAGTCACACTCCTCTCCACTACCTCCCATTTTTTAGCTGAAACCCATAGTGCCATGGCTCCTATAAGTACACCTGGTACATTGTGATTATATTTGGGTTAGTTTGTGCTTGTTCATATGTTAGGCTTCTGAGCATCTCACCCTTGCTCATCAGTGTTCTTATTTTGGCTCCAGTCCAATCAGCATTAAGTACACATTTCGCAGTGTGGGAGAATTCACCTTTAATACTTCCAATAATCCTGACCAACTGTAACACTTGACCTACATAGGAGTTTTGGTATTAAGATTTAGAAAAACCCTCTTACCTCCCGAACTAATCTGTCAAATAAGTACTGCTGAGTCACCACTTCTGTCCAGTTTCTATCCACCTCTTCACCAAGATGAGAATCTTCACATTCTTTCAATTTAATGAGAGC